CCGGCCCATCCTCTCCCTATCTGCTCCAATTCGATCGCCAATCTGCCAACTCTAGCAGATAGTTTTCGAAATCAATGTCAATTGTGTAAGAACAAGATCGTAGATCTAAATAAAGAAAGTCTCCGCTTTGTGCATTAGGGGCCGAGAAACCGATTGGTCCCGGCCGACCCATAAAGTTTATTTCAAGCACCCAGTGCATCTTGACCATTCATCTGGCGACCGAGGTAATTTACGAATAAAGTTGTTTCCTTCTACAATACACTATATTTCGCCAGCGCGAGATCTTGGAGAGAGTACCCGATTTTCCCTCTGAATTCTCGGACTCTGGTGGCAGATTTAATCGCGCGATCCAACAAGTAAGCGGTGCGGAAGCCCATGAATAAGCTTTCGATTAAGTTCAAGCTTGAATCCTTCTGAAAACCGATTCCTCTCACCGAGCGAGCGTTTCCATGGTTTTCAAAACTCTGTTGTCGAATTGATTCGGGATTCGACTACTGATCGACGGTCCCGCTCATGATTCCACGGTCTGTGTCAAACAATTTTTCCACATGACTTCAATCTGCCAGTCTTGGGCTGACTCAGGAAAACCTTTGCTTCTCGTCAAACATGACTAGGGAGTGGCTCGAAGATAAATAGTATGCCTCAGATTCTACTCTACGAATTACTCTGCTTTCGACCACCGACCTAACCGAATCCATTTGAGAATGCAACCAAACATATTACCTCAAGCTGACAAGGCAATTTTGTAATTTCCTAGGTAGCCCCCTTGCTACCATGTCCTGATCTTGTTCCGAGGACACTCATAGTTCTGTTACTCTTTATACACTGCCCGCAGTATTTTCCAGGCCGCATGGGACTCTGATGACATACTGTTGGATTAGAGACAAGCATAAAGGATGTGCAAGTATAGCTGATTTATAACAGCACTTTAGACGGTAACAGAAAAGCAAAGTTTGACATCTGGGACACTCTCAATGCTGTTGTGACTCCAAGGAAGAGTGATTTTTCTTGTTTTTATAATTACATGAGGGGATATGTACAGCCACGACAGAATTTCTCACGCTGCGGCTTCCTTGCGGAGCTATCACGGGTTTTTGTGATAGCAACGTGCACCAGGGCTAGTTATCGAGATAGTTGGCCTCTGTTGCTTCGATATCATGACGTAAACCGCACGATAACAAATTGGTGCTAGTATAAGCGTTCTATTCACTGCTATACAAGCCTCCCGGCTACACAAACACGATGCACATGGTCCCACATTGAAGATGACGATCGAGTTTCTTTAGGCCAACACGGGATTGATACTCGCGTAGCGCGACCTGTGATAGAGGATCAGCTTGTAATGAGTAAATGATAGCTGGTGATAACAGGAAATGTATTTCGTACCTAGTCTGGAGCTTTCTGTTTGACTTGATCCATTGCTATCGGTCTGGCTCGCCCCGGCCGTGAGGATTGTTTCAAACCATTTATCAATCTTACTTTTGTCGGTGATTTTGTTTGGGAGGGCCGTCAATGAAGCCCCACGGCCGGTTGAATGACGAGCGTCTTTTGATTGCTTTTGATCGCCCGAGTGATCAGAAGACTTGGCGCCAGTGTGACGGCACTTCCGCAGAATATGATACTTCTTCCCCCGTAGAGACTCAACACTTCGGGCCACCCGGTGTTGTTCGTAATATGCGTCGGAGCGGGCTTTCCACGACAGCTCCTGATGGGCATCCAGCCAAGAGAGAAGATTCTTCTCCTCCCATTCCGGCCAGCCTAATGCGCTACGTGGGGACATGGTGATGCCCAGGCAAGTGGTAGAAGTGGGAAGAACGGGTGAAGAAAACAGCACAAATGAACTTGAAGGTGTAGGTTTGTTGAGTTTAAAAATATTTTCACTACTCGGTCAACTTCGAAAGCCCCTACCGTTGCATTAAAAAAGACCATTGTTTGATTATGAGCGATGGCTCAATCTGGTGAGCTGGTCTCAGGCCCTCATTTTTTATTGCACCCTCGCAAAAAGGGGGCTATTGAGAGACAGGAACGTTGAAGCGAAGACAATGCTGGGGCCCTTCTTTCCTGGCCATACAGCATAGTTCTACCGCTTCGTCGCAGCATGTGCTTCTAGACCGCTTTTTAGTACAACATTCGTTGCCTTATTGTCCATCGTCCACATGAATTCATCTGCCAACGTTGTTTTGACAGAAAATGTGAAATTAAAAATGCGAGGGTGTCAACGATGAAGTCTACGATCATTTAGTGAGCCATAGCCTCAGATTCATTCTAGATAAAGCCCGGTTGTGGAAAGTATGGGTGGGAGATAGTTGAACTTGCGCCTCCCATTGCAAGCCAGCAAGTAGTCAATTCCGATTTGACGATACAAGTATCTTTTAAAACCAGCGAGCCCTCTCCTTTCACTGTAAACCCAGCCAGACTCGGGAACACTCGCCGCCTCTCTGTGGCTGAAACGCAAGCATGGGTGGAATTCGAAAAGTGTCGCACACTCATGAACGACAAGTCTTTCGGAGCAGATTGCAACGTGCATTGTCCTTGCCGTCCTCCGAGTCTGACAAAACCGGCAGTCCGTCAGCATCTGAGGCAGGCGATACAACAAAAGACGAGGACGGAAACGACTGATATGACGATCAGGAAAACAGCAACTCAGCCGACGAGAGTGAAGAGGCTCCACGGGAGCGGAGAATAATGCGTAATGCGAAAGGGACTCGAAAATACCCCGACGGACTCAGCTCAATGGAGAGCAATGCGGTAGCTCTCGAATGTGTGGTGGAGTAGGTATTGATCTCTTCACAGAATAAGATTTCGAGATTGCCTGCTGACAATGTCCAGACTAAATAACCGAATGAAGTCAGCTGTGGATTAACCTGCGAGTGAAAACATGAAACGCTAATCTTCTATGCAGGTCCATTGAGAGCTCATCGTCTGTCCAAAGCACCTGCAATGAAACCGTCCGCAACGACTTGGCTGATATCTTTGCTCGATTGGCGATCGTGGAGACCGAGATGAAGAAAGTAGCAAAGCAAGGCAACAATAAAGCTATAGAGGGCCAGCAAACCGGCCGATCCTTGCGTCGGGGTAATAGTGATTAAATTTGGTTTTTGACCCTTTGGACCAGAGCAAGGTATCAGCTCGTGTTGGTCCTGAGGTAACTCCCTTGGTTGATGCCTATTGAAACTCATGTCTTCTTTTTACCGCAACTAGTTGCAGTGACATTTTTGATGCCTTTAGATGCTCAGTGCGTGAGACCAGTATGAGTGGTATTGAGAAAAAGGGATGCTGAGTAGGCCAAGGAACGTTGGCTCACTGCGGAATCCTTCATGGCCCTCTAAAATAGAGAGTTTGGGGGAGATATCCAATCCGCAATGACAGGCTCATATTTCTTGTTCCAATCACCTCATCTACGCGTGACTCAACGTCCAATCACCGAAAAGCGCCTACAATTTCATCCCGAGGAATCATGGGGTTTATTTTCTTAGGCTCGCTTTAGTGTTGTGTTCGTTGTGTTGACCTGTGGGTCTGTCCGTCCCGACTGTAGAAGGTGTGCGGTGCGCGACTCATCAACCCGTTGAAGCTTGGCCATACATTGCCAACACTCAATTTTCGAACTCGTGACCATGGTGATACATTAGGTTTTGTTTGTTTCCTTTTCGTACTTCTCTTTTTGGTGACTGTAAGTTCTACAATGTTCCATTTGTCATATTTCTGAGGCGTTCAACGAAAGGAAAGAGGTTTCTGATAGAAATACATATTTCTTCAATGAGCGTTCATATCTGGCCCTCAGCATATTGAGGCTACATAAGTTTCCCCGACCGACTCGTCGATCACTATTTCCATTGTTGAATATTTGTCAGCAGCGCGCTGAAAGGTACAAATCTCTAGTCAGAATTTGACTGCTTCGGCTGACGGTTGCGGTAATTGTAAAACCCAGTCCATAAACACCTGCGTCTGCATGATCTATAAGAAACACAAAGGCCTGATGGAACTGGTATTGTCTACACACTCGACTTTCTCCTGCGGACAAAATGGACGCCCCGAACAGCTCGTCAGACCAGGAAATTGAAGGAGATCAGCAGCATAGTGAATTGCCAATCCTTAGAGAGCAAGAAACTCCACAGGAAACTTCTGATCATGTCCCTCCAATGGTAGGTGAAATGATTACGCTTCAAATATTCTTGCTGGGACACACCCTGGCGACCGAGCCCTTTCAACCCATCTTGAAGGTGCTAGCAGTCCTCGAACGCGACGATCCCCAGTTCACCTTTCCCGCGGCTCGACTTGTTGGACTCTATCGACGCCTATGGGAGTCGTGCGCGTCCAAGCATCGATGGCGAGAAACCAGAGCAAGACAACCACGTCTTGGGGGCTGCTGGTACGCACCTGAGAAAACAGAGGCAAGATCTTCAGCTTCGCCACGACAAGCAGCTATCCCGGCTGCACATTTTTGAGCAGGCACTGGAATTATCTCGGGGACGACTGACTAGCGTACTTGATGACTGGAGCTACCCTTCGAGACTCGATCTGGAAGGATTACTGGACAACGCAAGAGGAAGGTGAAGACCTGTCCCTCAGGGTTGTCGTGCCCTATTCTTTCAGCATGGAAATATTGGGATAATCCCCTGTTTAAGCCTAATTCCAGGCCAGGCCGATAAGTCTTGTGCAATTCCAGAGCGGGAGGCTTCAAAAGGATATGGGACTAGCAACGTAATGCGTTTCTGCATCAGTGAGTGTGTCGACAATAGACTGTTTTGAATACGGACCACACGCATCACTGCGTCTTTGCGCGCCTGTTCTGGCATGTTACGTCCATGATGGAGACTGCTGGAATGATGTGTGGTTACACCGATTGCTCAAAGCGGCTAATTTCCATACTATGTTCTCGAGCTATAAAGGTGATGGAGTTGACTTGCTACGGTTGCTCATGGTATGGCAATTCGAAACCTCGGTGTATCTGGATCATAGTGAGAGACTGAGCTTTCCAAATACAAGACTCCTTTAGGTACTCACATCGCGGTTTTCAAGACATCTGATGTCAGGTCAGCCTTGATTGAAGCCCAGTCGAATGTCTCTGTCGCTGTCGGTTCATCTGTGGCGTCATGATACAACGCAAGGTACTGGGAGTCAAGAGCGTCTGACGCAGAAATGCGCTCAGCCGGATCAAACTGAAGCATCCTATCAAGCAAAGCAGCGGCTGAATCGAATTAAACCGTGTACGTATCAAGCAGGCTGCCATGTACAACGCACCCTTTGCGTTAGCCCCGGGGATAAGCTTGTGCATTTGTTCGCGACGACATTCGGGGAGAGACCTGATGAATCTCAAATCCTGTAATGGGATCCCAAGCTCAGTAAGATGCGCAATGCTGTCAACAAATAGGTCTGCATAGGACTGACATTTTGGGAGGCCACATTGGCAACGATATTTTCTGGTGGGTTTCCAAGAAACTGAATGATTATACGGAACTGATTTTCGTAGTCTTTTCCAGGAAACAGAGGCTTGCCCATCAACATTTCAGCAAAAATACAGCCAGCACTCCAGATGTCGATTTTTTCATTATACTTTTGCCACATCAGCATGATTTCCGGGGCCCTGTAAAATGAGGTCGGGTCAAAGCCAGTCTTCTGAGCTTCTGCGAGGCCAAAATCACATATTTTCAGGTCGCAATTCTCATCTATCAAAATGTTACCAGGTTTTAAATCATGGTGAATCACGCCTGCCGAATGTATATATTTCAGGCCACGCTGGGTGTATAATTAGCATAGAAGGTCCAATCTCATTTGACGGGGGCAGTCTCACCATAATCTGATACAAAAAGAACTGAGCAAACCTATCCTCCAGCTTTTTTGATTCCAAAGGAGTGTGGAGATCAGTTGCCATAAAGTCGGTAACGATATATCTTTATCAATCAATATACTGGCCTCCGGCATAGGATGACGAAGGCACATACACGTCTTCAGAAGGAGAAATGAAAATATCACTCATGTTGACGATCTGTCTTCTTGGTTAGGCTGTTAACCCCATCGAGGTAAGTAAAGTAACTGATTCACAAACATTTTCATGTCGAAGCTGTTTCCAAAGTTTGACCTCAACTAAGGTACGCTTGGCAATATTTTGTCTTTCGAAGGGTTTCACCAACTTTTTTATCGCGACAGTCTGATTGGTAAACTGATCTCGTGCAGAGCTGGTTTGTGAACATATCATTAAACCAAGCCACAAGAAGGTTATACTTGACAGTTCAGGGGATCAATACCAAAGTAGCCCCGGAGCCCCAATCCCAATAGGCTTCAACCGCGTATATCTAACATCGACACATAAAATTAGCCTGTGGTTTGGGAATTAACCCAGTCAGTCATGTATTCCGAAGCTCACCTCTCTGTAATTTCAAACGTTGCACCCAAGACAGAGCTTTTGGTGAACCTGGCCATGTCCTCCTGGCAGGCAGACGGCTCCTCTAAAGTTGTAGGCATAGCGATCCAAATAGTCATAAGATGTAAAAAGAATACAGAGTAGCCTGAAATAAGGATATTCTACTCTCTTAAGATTTTTGGTTGAAAAAAGACTGAAGATCAGACCACAACTGGGGTTTGACGTGGACATGACATCATGGCTTTCCGGGCCACGGTCATGTGACTTCTGTAATAACTGGTTGACGTCGCAAAACCTGGGTTTAAAGAATTGCTAGTTTAATTTGGCTAAAGCTAATTGGTTCCGAGGGATTGATTACGTTCCACACTATGGACGGGTATGTCGAATAAAGTGTCTTCTATCATCAACTTGCTCGGATGTTACTAGCAACCGCTTGTTTTTTTTGAGGCATCTGAGCGCAAGGAAAAGTTCATAAATCTCGATGAGGAAATTTCCGTAGTTTTCAAAGAGGGCACGAAGAAATACAAGAAGTAATACATGTCGAACTGAGGGGTGGTATTTTACCACTAAGGACAGGGTTATTCATCAAGTACCCATTCGATCTTTGTCTCTGTATGGTAAAGTAAACGGGGTACGCTCGGTATACCAACGTTGTAACACGCTAGGGACGACTCCTGAGATCTGATAACGCTTCAACAGCAAGTTCCAGATGGAACAACAACCAATGCATCTCAATGGGACACCCCCATACTAGCACATACCAGTATCCGTCAATCCGACAGGCTCTCCTACCGACCCAAGAGTGGTTTCTTTCTGCCAAAAATGTCCGTTTTCACTCAACAGGCGCCCATTTAGCTGAAATTTGTCGGCAATTAGTTCTACCCAGACCTTGCTTTGACATGGATTTCGAATCGAGCAAAACTAGTGATTGGTAGGCTTTACTTTCCGTGCCAAAACTCGCTATTATCTGGTCCTGATTATGACGAGGTGGAGCCTTGGCCGCGATCATCATTGTTGTGATATGAGGCTGGTGCAGATCAGGAACCAAGCCGCACCGTCGGAATTAGCTCCGAAGTGTCTATACAGACGACCAAGTTGATTTCCAATCAACTTGGCTCATTGTTATATATATAGGCACATGTATCACTCTGAAATAACAAGCTAATTCATACCTCTGAACTACAACATAGACATGTCCTACGACCCACATACTTATGACCTCTTACGACTAATTACGAATATGAATAAAGCTTTTAAGAAGATCTACGAATACGAATATGGAAAATCCTTATACGTGTCGATTCCTAACTGAGAATAAAGCACATATCACGGATTCCATGATCAGTTAGTTATGTTCACAAAAATATTTAAGGCACCGGCCGATCTCCGGCGCGCGAACAATGTTTAGCTGGCGCCAAGGAACGCCATTAAGCTGGAACGGGCAGCCAGTCAACCCCCATTGGCCCGCAGGTCTTGGCTCCTTTTTGCCCCTGTTTAGCCTCGCATTTTGAGTCCGCAAGGGGTTATTTTTCACGAGAAATACGAACGATACGGGCGGATCAGAAAGGATCATCACTAGATGCATCTCGCGATGTCATTTGGATTGTTTCAGTTGCACGCGCTAATTCAGGGTCTAAGGGTCCTACAGCCGCATGGGACTGGTCTTTATGTAGGGCTTGTGCCTGGCGACGACTTGGAGGAGTTTTGATTTTCATTTCAATCGTTTGCCATGATGAGATCCCAATTGCATTTGTTTCTAGCTCTGGAGGCGTTGTCTTCTCTCGCGCTTTCTGAGAAAGTCGGCTATTTTGAATCGTCGGCTTGTGCCGATCCTGAGGGTTTCACATCTTGCTACAAGGATGCGGAAACTGAGTACACAAATTGTGTAAACAATAACTGCGTTGGTGGAAGTCAAGCATGCTACAAATCATGCGGTGGAATCGTCACCTGCATGAGCAAGCAATGCCCTAGTCTGGGCACTAATTGTATCAATGCCTGTGAATGCCAGAGATCCGCACATCAAATTGACTGCGCTAGTGCAAGCTGTTGGAACGAGGTCAGTATCGTGCGAGTCGATTCCAATCAAGTAGATTTAACGTTTCTATAGGTCTACTCTTGCGAGTACCAAAGCATCGTCGCAGACTTCTTTAATCTCTGCACCAATCCCAATTATGACGCCGTTCCATTCTGGCCAGCACCCGACGACGCTCCCGCTGCCTGTTCTTGCAACCTTGGAAAGATAATCAAGAAGGAGCATTTCATTGCACTTCAAATGACAGAGTGCGCCAACAACATGACCAACCTTAACCAACTTGCCACGAACAAGGATATCTCTGAGTATGGGACGGCTTGCATGTGCTGTGGAATGAGTGCTATTGTCTCTACGTAAGTTCAAGCTGTTAAGTTGTATTTCTATTTGTCTGCTAATTAGGCTATAGTATTTACGATACCTGCCCTAACACGAACCCAACCCTCCTTGGCTTGCAAGAGTGGTACGATGGTATTTTGGTGCCTAGTGACTGGAGCGACTGCGGTCCCTACCTCGAGGCATATGATTGTGCCGGCGACTTAGGATATGGTCGTGCCGATGCCGGTGCAGTCCACAAATTTTACGAGCCAAGCAGTATGCCATCGAATGGCACTGCGACTCTGTCCAACAAGGGTGGTGTGGTCTCCACCCCGGTCAGTGGCAACACTTTCACGTGGACCTTTGGCCAATCTTCCAGAGCTGTGGCACACCCTATCACCGTGACTTCAGCCAACGCGAAAGTTACCGGAAAGGCCAATAGCGGCGAGACGACAGCAACAATCACCGGCACTGGTACTGGCACGGCTGCGGAGAGCGCACAGCCTGGAATGGGTGCCTCCTTGGCTGTTCCTCTCTGGACTATCGCTGACACTGTTGGTGCATTGGCCTTACTAGCCTTGTAGTGATGATGTATTGGTGCTGGAGAAGAGATACACACACACACACACACACAATTCATTAACGCCCGGCGGCTGAACCGAAAGGGCAACTATCACTGATCTAAATATACACGCCTTAGCTAATGGTATGTCTCCTTGCAGCCCATACAAGATCCTTTTCAGTGTATGTCATCTCAAATGTCAATATCTTAGCGGGTCCTTGTGGGTTAGTGTTTAGTTAGTAGACTTGCTTGAAGGCGCTTCTCCAAGTGTTCAACATCCTATCTTCGGCAATTGAAGCGCGTCTACCGTCGCTGGCACAAGGTAGTTGGTGGGGGTTAGATTGGGGTTGGGGTGGGGTAGGGTTGAAATGTGTTGGTTGACGCGGTTAAGCGGCGTCGAGTCGGCCCGTGGCGATTGAAAACCGTATTGTGGCTCGCACTGCTTCCAAATTCGGCTTCCAGTTCTGGTCAGCCGAAGGCGATTTTCCGCCCAGGAAGAAAGGTATGTTGCCTCAGTGAGTATGGGTACATTGCAGCATTTCCGTCCGGTGCGTGGTCCACTTCTGACATCGAAATAGGAAGTGCTCCACGGTCTCTCTTGCTTGTCCACATGCACACTGATCCGTCTCGGCGACATTGATTCGATATAGGTATCCATTGAGTCTCGCCATGCCGGTCTGGAGTTGAGTCAGCACGCTCGCTTCTTTCCACGACAATGGATCGTATAGCTGTCGAGTGTGTTTCCCTGGAAGCGCTGCATCCACTCGTTTGGAATGTCTCCCGACGTTTTCTGGAAGGCCTTTGCTGGCTGCGGCCTGGGACCGTGCGATATTCAGGGTGGTTGACTTCATTCTTGGATTCTGTGTTTGCGGGGTAGCGTCTTCTTGGGTCGCGGCCCTAGCCTGCTCTTTCACCAGGCCCAGCAGTTAATTATTTTCGCTCCTTGGGACCCAACGAATGCGGATCTCGATGTCGTGTCCCCGTAGTCTCCTGATCAGCTTGTATATCTGGCAGATGTGTTCCTGGCCCGACTGCTGTCGAGGATTCTTCAGCGTGAGTTCCGCCGCTTTGTTGCTGGTGAGCATTGTGGCCCTACACCGTTTCAGTCCCCGTAGCGTGTTCATTACGTATGCCATTGCTGCCAATTCACCGGAGTATGGGTTCTGCTCGGTTCTTGCACCCAGTGTGACGGAGAAAATTTTCAGCCTCGGTTTTCGATACCGAGGCGGCTGCTTCTCAATCGCCACGCCGAATCCTACCATGTCATTCCGCGCCGAACTGCTGACCGCGATCCGCATGACTCCGCCCGTTTCGGTCTGTGCCTCTGGTACATTCTGACCATCGCCCTGTACACGTTCCTCCCATGGTGCCAATGTGAATGGATTGATGGTTTCTAGTGTTTCCATCTCGAAGTTTTTCAGTGCGTCTGCGACCTGATACAACGGCGAACGATGGTATCTTCTGAATTTCTTGATCTGAGCTATACTCCTGCGGTCCTGCGGAGGGGATTGGTTACCGGTAGGGTGTGCATGTCTGTCCACATCTTCGCAGCTCGTCTCCAGAGCCGGTGTTGGACCGTGGAGATGTGAGCCTCCGCTTCCGCTACGCTGGTCGCAACTGTAAGGAATGTCCCGACAATCGCTTGCGCTCCTACCCTCTGCACTCTGCTGATCGGTCCGATATTCTTGTTCTTGAAAGAGTGGATCCAGACATTGGAGGTATAGTCCACCACCGGCGCCACGGTCGATGTGAATAACTGCCGCGCTGTTGCTGGGGATAGACCACGAAGCCATCGCTGCTCCATCGCTGCTTCCAGGCCTCTAGACGCCGCTCTCGCAATATGTTCCTTGTATTTGAGTCTTGTATCCATTATGACGCCAAGAATCTTGACATGGTGGCTGGGTTCAACGGTCTCTCCCTTAATGGTGAATGGCCCCGAGTCCGATTTGTGGGCCTTCGGGGCGAAGTGTATGAGGGAGGTTTTCTCTGCCTCAAAAGTCGCTCCACTTCTTCTTTCCCAGTCGAGTGCTTCATTGACGATTGTTTCAATACCTTGCCGGTTGCTCTGCGCAGTCGGTCCGGTCACCCACGCGGTAAAGTCATCCACAAAGGCAATCGCTCCTCCCTGGCCGTCGATCTGTCGCTGTACGAGATCTGCGTTGAAGAAGAGGAAGAGGATGGGGGACAGGGGTGATCCCTGAGGTAGCCCCGCCTGTGGGAGACTTTGGGCCTCAGATGCTTGCCCATTGATCTGGATGGTTGCCGTTCGTTCCGAGCAGAACGCCTCGACCCATCGGAGTAGAACTTCGGGTATACCTCGCGCTTTCATCCTCTGGAGCAATCGTTCCTTACAGACCCCATTGCAGGCACTCCCTTCACGTCAACGCTAATCAAGCTTAAGACCCGTCGGCCACCCCACGCCGCGTAAATTTGCTCTTGCAAGAGTAAGAGTGCTTGCTCCGCGGATCGCTGCTTACGGGCCCCGAAGTGGCTGGACGGAAGCAGGCCGTAAGTCTCTACCGCGTGTGAGATTCTTTCTGCCACCACAGATTCGAGTATCTTGTCCAATGTCGCTAGGAGAGAAATCGGCCTCCAGGCCTTCGTAATGGTATAGTTCTCTTTGTTCGGCTTTCTCAGAGGTATGATCTTTGCATGTCTCCACGGGCTGGGTAACACGCCTTCCTCCAACGACGTCCAGAATAGTTCAAGGACACTGTGCTTGACCACGGGCCACGACATCTTCCACACCATCGCTGGTAGGCCATCTTCGCCAGGTGCTTTCCACGACTTTGTCGCCAGCAGCTGCCGTTCGACCTCCTCCATGGCGATAGCAGACATCTCCACGGGCGCTCTCTGTGGCCTGGTCCCTTCATTGTCAATTCTGTCCGGCAGTGACGGGAAGAATTTGGTCAGTAGTTCTTCCGCTTGCTCTTGATGATCGGCGGTCATGGTTCCATCCGCCCTAAGGAGCTGTGGGACCTTCCCGAATGCTGCATCATCTCCCGACTTCAGGCACTTCGCGGTTTTCCATATATTATCGTTGTCCGCCAGAAACCCATTCCAGTGATTCTTCTTTTGCTTCCGTATTGCGTCATGGTATTGTTTCGCCGCACTTGCGGCCATGTTCTCCAGATGTGGCACCTTTCGCCCTGCCCGACGCTCCGAGCGGGTGTGGTTTCTCCAATATGTGTATATCTGACGGAGCTGTGTCAGGTCTGGTCCATCGCTTTGCGTGTGGCGACGGTTTCGCCCTGGGCATCAAAGTGTACACCGCCTCCGCCACTACAGACATGAGTCGGTCGGTTTTCTGCTGCACCGTGCCTTCCGACGGGGTGGCGGCGAGAGCTGTCGCAATCCGGGTGTTGATTTCCTTCCATGGCGCATTTTTCAGCAAAAGTCGTTCTGGATGCTGCGGAGCCGGCCACGGGGCGTCATAAAGGGAGTCAATAGCGCGGTGGTCCGATCCGTGCTCTGTCCCGTGTATCGCACATTTGACCATAGATTGTGTCAAGTTTTCCGAGGCCAGGACGAAGTCGATCGTGGACTCGCAGTCCTTAGTCTGTCCTCCGCCGTGCCATGTCTTAGTGCCTCGTTTGAGTAGGCTGCTAAGAGAAAATCCGTTCATGAGGTCGATGATTGGATCCGCCTCTCCTTGTCTTGTCAAAGACACGTCCTCTCCTCCCCAGAGTTGGTCGTGGCGGTTAAAGTCCCCCACAATCATGATCTTCACCATTGTTCCCGCGTCTCTCCGTACCTTGGTGATTGTTTTTCGAAGGCGATCGCATGCACCCTCCAGCGCTAAGGCATCCCCTCCCTCTATGTAGACTGATGCCATAAATATCAGACGCTCGGGAAGGCGGATGACCGCCGCTGTAAGATCCGGCGATTCGATCGGCACTTGCTCCGCTTCCACATCCTTATTGACTCAAAGCATGCTTCGGATTGCCCACCGGCCCTCCCTCCAAGTGGAGGGAACCATCTTGTTCCATTTGTGATGTCCCATCGGGGTTGTCAAGAGCCGGCCTTGAATTCTCCTCGCTTGGGGTTCCTGAATCGCTAGTGCCACTGCGTCCCGTGTCTCTTCGTCGTTCATTAAATTGCCATGCACTGCTCCCTGCTTTTTCACATTCAGTTGAAGGATTCGGACGGTTTAATTCATGTCGTGATGGGTAGAGTTTCCGACAATTTCTGCTGAACGATTCATGTGGGTCTCCGCATGGAACGCACTTCGGAACCGTCTGATTGCAGCTACTGTGGCGGTGGCCCTCCGCGGCGCATTTTGCACACTTCTGGACGTTCTTGCACTGAAATGCCTTGTGGCCAATATCCTGGCAGTTGTAGCATTGCATCGGCCGTGGTCGATATTCGAAGGTACTGGTCACGCCAGATTCTCCCCCAAGAAACCGTCATCCAGGAGCCTTCGTGCGTCAGTGCCTTTGGTCAAGTATACGACCATAGATCCGTACGGCTTCGCATTATCCTTTCTGCTGAAACAAGCGACCTTGGCCACGGTGGCTTCATTTTCCTCGCTGAAGACTGCTGCGGCTTCAGCTCGGATCCCATCTTTCTCGTCTAGCACCGCAGCCTTGTTGACGCTGTCAACTTGATCGGGTAGAGCTCATCACGGAGTACCCGAGCTCCCGGGCCGATCCTGGCTTCCGCCACTTTCTTGATCAGCTGGTGCTCATCTTCGCCGCGGCACGCTATTCTTATTCGGTTGGTGTTCTTCGGATCCACGGTAACAGCGCGACAGCGCCAGTGCGTGTGGCATTCTATCGTCCGAATCTCTGTCTCAACCACCGCCCGGATTGGGCCTGCGGACATCCTCTCGTTCTCATTTCGGGCCATCGTCGAGGTATCTATCGTGCAGCATAACGTGTCGGTGGTATTGGTTGGTGTTGTATTCGACGTTGAGAGCGTCCGAATGTTGCTCGGGTGACTGAGTGGGGGAGTACGGGCGACATCTGCATAGGACGGGGAGCCAGTGGGAACGGAAGGGCTGATGGCATCGCGTAGGGATTGAATCTCGCGAGGATATCATTGTGGCTGTTCTGAGCGCATGCCTCGGCGTGGGATTGCGGTGTCGGGGGTCTATCTCTCAGGGTCTGTAGCTCGTGTCGGACTTCGGCAAGGGCGACGCTAAATTCTTCGTTAACCTTCTGAAGCTCTTCTTCGTGCAGTTCATCGCATCGCCTGATCTCTCTCCTGAGTTTGATGAGCTCCTTCACAAGTGTGGTGGTGTTGAGGTCCTCGCTCTCCGTCGCGGAGTCGTCCGAAGTGACCGCGTCGCGTTGGGTTACCGGCTTGTCTTGGTTCTTCTTCTTCAGTTGAAATCGTGTCGTTCTCGGCTCGTTGTCGACCTCTTGGTCCCGAGCATAATTACTGGGTGGTCGGGTAGTGCGTCTCGGCCTCAACAATCGTGGCGGTGAATCGTCGTGTTCGTCACGGTCGGGTCGCGGTCCGTCCCGCCATCATTCAAAAACAGTTCCGGAGCCACGTGGCACGCTTATCCCGTTGCAGTACAGTCCCAGAGATCTTCGGGTCTGCTCCGATCTCAAATCGGTACAGACGCGCTCGAAATCAGCTTCAATCGCTGGCCCAGATCGGGATCTCGGCGCATCTTAAAATATTACAGTAAGATTCGAAATCAGTTATACCTCCGCACTCTTACGACTTGATTCCCGGAGAATAGCTCCGGCGTCCATGATTCCTGATAGGACAGACACTTGGGGCCCACATTTCAGACCGCATTCTAAGCTGGGTGGAATACCTTACAATACAGCTTCAACGAATTGAAAGATGTATTTTACCTGAAAGTGCCATACGCATGCTCCCTAGTGTGGCCCTCTCTCAATCCATGGCAGCTTATTTCCCCGTATATCTTCGGAAATCCTGTACATAAGATAGACGGTCAGATCTTTACCAGTATAATTACTCTATTATTCTAGTACAGTCTTCCTATGGTCCCGCCTCAGTCCCCATTTGGGTCGCACGGCGAGTCTGCTCTATTGCGCACTCACTAACATCCTCTTCACGGCCTCCTTGGTCTGACATCCTAACACCCCCAGACACGTCTGCGAAGGAGACCTGTCTCATTCCCGATAACTCTGGACTGCAGGTTTTTTCGAGCTGTCAGGGCCTAGAACCAATAAGTGTATGGCTGGAAGTGGGGCAGGTGCTGCTTCTCCGCCCCGATCTCCGTCGACATTCTATCCCTGCCAATAGAAGCACCCATTCTACAGGACAACCAACTTCAATCCTCCTTGGCCAATTGCCGGAATGCTTTTTAGAAATTTCGGTTGTTTGTTCATTCACAAGCCCTTTCACGGGGTTATTTCTATGTACTTTCTCACGATATGTCAAATATCCAATATAGTGCTGTTCACAGACGAGTTTACGCCAGGCTGTAATATTTTTGCAAGCAGGAATATGGCAAAAGAGCAATGCTGAATGAGGTATGGACAGTCCTATCCGCGCCGTTGCCTTTTTTATATATGTCCACGTGCGTTTTTGCCGACCTGAGAATACCATTAGCCCCCATCAGGACAAGGTAATGATTCCAAGAAAATGGATACGTGCTAATATACGAAAGCACGAGTTCTTAGGCTCCAAAATATATCTAGGACGTGTTATCTGAATATCTAATGTTGCGAATATCGAGCCCATTGTGGACTTGATAAGCATTTAGGTGCCTCAGGATGCTGCTTCCTTCAATCAGCAAATGGGTGCTGTAAAAGTTAAACAAGCTAGTGATGTAAGACCAATTTCATACAACAAAATATGGCTAGTGCTGTGATTAGTCTTTCATATGCGAGATCAGCCCATAACAGAGCGCTAAAGGGCTGTAAAGATGCGTGTTCCTATTGGTAGGGTTAGATTGCCGATATACCCGTAACGTCTGAGTGCGCATTTGGTAAAGAACGGGAGCCAGAGTCCCAGGTAGTGAGTAGTTAGTGGCTTGCGCACTACAAGCGTTTGCTTTCACACCTAGTGGAATATACACACTGAAAGGTGCAGTGAAATATTTTTCGAAAAGAGAACGTCTCATATTGATTGACGCTGTCGCTTACCATATCAAATCAAGATCAAATGGCCGTGTCAACGTGGTGTCATACCCAAATATGTATTGAGGGATTGGATGTACCACCAGTAGGGCTAGGTAGGCAAGGTAGAACGCATGTCTGGTACCTATACTCAAACTCGGAACTGCACTAGTAGCTTCGTCACTAATGAATTAATGGTTAACATAAATAAATATAGTCACATTCGTGGATTCGCGAAGAGGCAACATGTTAACTGTGAGAATTGAGTTCTGAGAGCCCAAGGAGCTGTCTGTGCTCATTGATAATTAGATAGACAGATATCCACGGACCGCCTGTGGTATCCACACTATACTCAGAAGCGCGATACATCCCTTCCGAATATTCTATTCAACGTCCACCGGAACGCCACACGCACCTTGTTGCGCCAGCTAATACTCATGGTGATGTAGGCAGCATTCCAGATCAGCCGGGCAGTATGCCCCTTGATACCCTCTGGTAGATAATTGCGCGCAATGCCCTCATGCGGGACTTGCATTAACGCCCTTTCGCTGCCAATGTAGGCCATCGTACCTAAATTGCGGAAGGAGAAGGGTGAGGTCTGAGCCATATCATCTTTGTTCAGACGAGCTGCTAGCCATTTGGCTTCTTGAAAGGTGGCCTGAGCGGTTGCAGGAGGGGCGCCGGTCTCCGGCATGGCATTGTCGCCTAGGGCAAAAACGTCTCGGAGAACAGCTGTTTGTCCCTCTTTGCTTTGAAGCTGTACGCGTAGATGGCCGTCGACGAGGAGAGCGCCGACCTTAGGTACCTTTTTGTATTGCCATGATAGTTGTTCAGCGTTCCCGGGGACACTTGAAGAACCATCGACGGTGAGAACTGAGGCTGTGGGAAAGGCTTCAACTGACCCAAGCGCCTGGCTGATGAACTTGGACATAGCATTACCTGTCACCCAAACGCACATACCAACTCCCACCTCGCCTTCTTCTTTCGTGGTAAGGGTCAGGCATCGCTTGGGATCCATATCATGAGGGGGAGGGGTACCGGGCGGGCCCCACCGCAGGCTCTTGACATGGTGGGAGGTTTTGACATCTATACCCTCCCTCTTCATAGTGTCCATCGCGTAACGGGATAGTGACTCGTCAAACATTGACAGCACCTGAGGCGCAACGTCATACAAGGTGATCTTTGGAACCCCATTGAGAGCAGGATACAATGTCATCATGTCGACATAGATCAAATCACGCAACGATGCCGCAAGCTCAGTGCCGGTCGGACCGGCCCCCACGATCGAGAAGTTGAGCAGCCATTTCCGCATCTCTAGGGAAGTGGTCGGCAGAACAGCAAGCTCGAAACATTCGCGCACACGGCGCTTCACTCGTTTGGCATCGCCAATATCTTTAAAGAACATCGCATTCTCCCGTACACCTGGAGTCCCAAATGTACGGCTGACAGTGCCTACCGCAATGACGAGTTTATCATATGGAACCTCGAACGTCTCTCCCTGTTCCCATTGACGGTACGTATCTGGCTGTTTGTTTGTAGCCTCTGGGCCTTCTTCGGTTTTTCTTCCCCCTTCCGGAGTGCGAGGCGATTCGGTAACCCCACTCTTAACTACTGTTGCTTCGCAGAGAATAGTTTTCTTTTTCAAATCAACTGTACGCGCGGCTGCTTGGATGAAGTCAACCTTGGCGCGCGGATCACGCACGGGTTCGACGATGTTCGAAAAATCAAGTGATCCGCTCGCTGCATCAGTGAGAAGAGGAGTGAAGACGAAATATGAACGTGGTGAGATTATTATGGGTGAGTATGTCTTAGGAGAAAGCCTGCGCGAGAGGGTATATCCGGCCCAGCCGGAACCGAGGATGACGACACGTTCCTTTTTGTCATCGGACTCGGGGAGCGCCTTTGAGTGTTCTATATATGTCGCGAGGCGTCTCCGTGCGGTTATGGGGTTGAATGGAGCAAGATTAGAAGAGAATGTGTTCGTAGAATCGGAAAGATAGATAGAGGAAGGTAACGGGGACCCTAGACGTAGCGCCTGGCGCCGCAGGGGGACCATTGCGCTCAACTGCCAGGGCTGCATGACAGTCCTATCTTTGGAGAGGTTGTTGAAATGCAAATGACAAATCTTAAAGATATCATATGTCCAGCCCCATTTCTATAAAAGCCGCCTGTCATCGGTACCTGTCATCGGTACTCGTCATAGTTCTTCCGTTGACACATTCATGACTTCATCCTCAGCAGGGTAAGGATCCGGATCGAGGAACATTCAGCGAGGGCTAGCTGCACGTGCCGCTGGGGGCAAAAGGCCACTTCAAATATTATGAGAAAATGTCTATGATTTGTAAGTACAAGAAATCAAGGTAAATCAGTCGCGACGAAGGGAAAGAGGTGCAAGGGGGGAAACGAGGTCATGTGATGACGAGCTTGGCGCAATGACGGCATTAGACCACGCATCCGCCCCGCAGGCCGCCTATCATAGTAGGGATGGTCTAAGTTCGAAACTGGTTAGCCTATTTCGAAATATTAAAATTTCACTTTTTTTTCTCATTTCAGTTTCTGTCGGTTTGACGGATACTGGTATGTGCTAGTATTGAGGTGTCCCCTCGAGATGCATTGATTGTTGTTCTATCTGGATCTTGCTGTTGAAGCGTTATCAGATCTCAGGAATCGTTCCTAGCGTGTTACAACGCTGGTATGCCGAGCGTACCCCGTTTACCATACAGAGACAAAGAGAGAATGGGTACTTGATGAATAACCCTGTCCTTAGTGGTAAAATACCACCCCTCAGTTCGACAAAAGTATTAATGCGGAGAAATCTCACAAGATGAATAATTTGATTAATGGATGCGAATATGAAAAATGCGTTTATTCGCGCGAATAAAAAATCCATATATTCATATTCGCATTCCTTTATTCCTTTCAGAGCCCTACATAACTCACTGCTCTTTGCAACTCCATGCCTTAGGTACATAATTTGTCTTCTTGCGACCGATATCGGTCGCGGCGGTGCACCCGCTTCTCTTGAGCGGCTACTATTTTGCTCAGAGCTCTGGTTTTTCAAGATCGTCCCTGTCAGGTTGGACCCATCGTCTCGACACCAACCTCTTCTTTGAATTTAGGGGAAGATGGCTGAGATGGTGCTCAACTGAGCGAAGTGCGTTGCAGATCTCTACTACCAATCCATTTACAGAATGCACAAATCGGCCAACATGCCAAGGGTTCTTGTGGATGGTTCCGTGAGCAACAAACACCGATGACGGGTAAACATTGACTAATTTTACTTACCACGGAGCTTTGAAAGCCTGGGATAGCAGAGCATAGGAAGTCATCATGATACTGATGTTTGCCAGACTCAGGTCGACCAGGAGACTATTTACCTTGGTCATCCAGTACGATACCGCCACGTCACCGCGCCAAATATTGGCCAAGCCCTAAGTGCATCAGGCATGGCATGAGGCCGTCGGCGAGGCTCCGAGTGGCTCCGAGTGGCGCCGGGCAGGTCAGTCCTGCAGATGTGGACGACCTGATCTCCCGGCACTTGCTCTTCCTCCCCATACAATCCAGTCCCCATAATCTCGATAGCGAAGGAAATGGCGGAGGCTCTTGGTGTTGCCGCGAATGTCATTGCCGTCGTTGATCTGTTCGTCAAGGTCGGCGTTCTGTGCTCCATCTATTGCACCAATGTCAAAAAGGCTCCGCACGATATTCGATCTCTCCTGAACGAAGCTGACAGGATCTCAGCAACCTTGAAGGACGTGGAACGACTTCTTACCGGACCGAATGGCGCGAAAATAGCCGCGTCTGAAAACATACGCTGTGGTATCACGGACTGCCGAGCGCAGCTGTCAGATCTGGCCACCAAGCTAGAAGCGGGCACAATATGGAACAAGATGGCATGGCCACTGAAGAAGGGGGAAGTAACCGAAATTATCAACAATCTGGAACGATGTCGAACCAACATCTCCTTGGACCTACAGGTTTATCAAACGTGTGTTTACTTCTTCTAGCCCGAGGCTGCACTAACGACTCATCAAGGGCATTGCTTCTCGATATTCATCAGGAGATTGTCCTGGGAAAATTGCGCACCGCGAAAGGAGCGACTTTTGATGCTCGCGCCGAGGCCGACAACGCCAAGTGTTATCCTGGCACTCGAGTCGACGTCCTCCAGAGGATAGTATCATGGGGTACCGCTGATGATGGCGAATGCATCTTCTGGTTAAACGGTATGGCCGGCACCGGCAAGTCTACAATATCTCGAACAGTAGCTCAAGCATTCGCCGACAATTGCATGCTTGGAGCAAGTTTCTTCTTCAAGCGGGGCGAAGGTGACCGTGGCCGTGCGGCATTCTTCTTCACTACGATAGCTGCTCAGCTTGTTCGCAGGCTTCCCTCGATAGCGCCCTTCGTCCGAGCGGAGATCGAGGCAGATCCTGCCATCAACGAAAAGTCGGCGAAAGACCAGTTCCATCAACTCATTGCAGGCCCGATAAAGAAACTGCGCGGGTACTTTCAGCAGCCAAGTATGGTCATTGTCGTCGATGCTCTTGACGAGTGTGATAATGTCGATCATATAAGGCTCATCATTCAGTTGCTATCACAAGCGAAAGCCTTTATATCTGTCCGTCTGAGGTTTTTTGTCACGAGCAGGCCCGAGCTGCTCATTAGACTCGGCTTCAAAGATATAAGTGGCAAGTATGAAGACCTTGTTCTTCACCAGATCCCAAAGCATATTATCAAGCACGATATAAATGCTTTCTTACAGCATGAACTTGCCATAATTCGACAGGATTTCAACAAGTCTGTTATACCGAACCGGCAACTTCCAGCCGATTGGCCGGGGACAGAATGTGTCCAGAAGCTGGTTGACATGGCTCTCCCATTATTCATTTTCGCCGCAACCGTCTGCCGATTCATCCAGGACCGACGGGTCGGTGGACCGAAGGAACAGCTAGCAAGAGTTCTAGAGTACCAATCAAGCTCAAGGTCGAATCTGGATGCGTCCTACCTGCCTGTGCTACATCAGTTGCTGGGAAACCTCAATGAACCAGAGACGCGCGAAGTCGCAGCACGATTTAAGCAAATTGTCGGGTCTATCGTTGTTCTCGCCAGCCCGCTTTCGAAACCTGCCCTTGCCCGCCTCCTCGGAATATCTCTCGATGTGATCGAAGATCAACTAGATTTACTCCATTCCGTTCTCAGCGTTCCCTCGGACCCAAATACCCCCGTTCAGCTACTGCATTTATCTTTCCACGACTTCCTTATCGACCCTGCAAAGGCCCGGAAACAAGACCAGTACCCATTCTGGGTTGATGAGCGACTTAAACATGAACAATTGGCGCTTCAATGCTTGCACTTGCTATCGACAGATGACACTCTTAAGAGAGATGTCTGCGGCCTGCGTCTGCCAGGGAGACCCCGGTCCGAGATTGACCAGAAAGTCATCAATGCAAGGATTCAGCCAGAGGTCCAGTACGCCTGTCAGTATTGGGTCTACCACTGGAAAGAGAGCGGAACTAAGATACGTGACGGTGACCCTGTCGATCGATTCTTAACATGCCATCTTCTACATTGGTTCGAAGCCTTGAGTCTTCTAGGGCGTGTCCAGGAAAGCATCGGTATGGTGGACAACCTGTTGAGTTCGCTCGATGTGCGTTCCTCCGTCTTGGCTATTTTGTAGACAACGTACTGACACTCCTCATTAGCCCATAAACAGCAGCTACATCTCACCGTTTATTCGAGATGCGCGGCGCGTCATTCAAACTTACTGTTCGGTTGTCGACGTATCCCCTCTTCAAATATACCATTCAGCTATCGTGTTTGCGCCAGAGCGGAGCATTGCTCGAGTAACCTTCCGAGAACAATTTCCGACTTATCTGTCAACACTGCCGCAGGTAGATCTTGACTGGAGCACGTACTTAGAGACCCTCGAAGGTGATACCCATGATGTCAACGCTGCCGCATTCTCGCACGATTCGACATTACTGGCTTCCGCATCGGGAGATCATACCGTCAAGATTTGGGACACCACTACAGGCACCTGTGCGGCAACTCTCACGGGTCATACCGCCGGGGTTAGATGGGCCATATTTTCTCACGACTCAACGATGCTCGCATCGGCATCAGGGGATCATACGGTCAAGCTCTGGGATATCGCCTCAGGGACTTGTATATCGACTTTGAGGGGCCATAGCAATTACGTTGTCTCGGTTGCATTCTCGCAAAACTCCACAATTCTTGCTTCGGCGTCGTGGGATCGCACCGTCAAGCTGTGGGATGTTGCCAAGGGTGCCTGCACGGCAACTCTTGCAGATCATAGCAACCATGTCGCCTCAGTTAATTTTTCGCATGATTTGACTATGCTTGCTTCCGCGTCGTGGGATCATACTATTAAACTCTGGGATGTCGTTACTAAATCCTGCAAAGCAACATTCACTGGCCATAATAACGGTGTCGTCTCAGCCATGTTCTCCCATGATTCGATGACACTTGTTTCGGCATCGTGGGACCACACCATCAAACTCTGGAATGTTGGCACAGGCACCTGCACGGTAACACTCACGGGTCATGACGCTGGTGTCAGGTCGGTTGCATTCTCGCACGATTCGACAATGATTGCATCGGCATCAGGAGACCACACCATCAAACTTTGGGACAGTGCTACAGGTACCTGTACAGCAACGATTAAAGGCCATGAGGATGGTGTTAGGTCGGCTATGATTTCCCATGATTCGACAAGGCTTGTTTCAGCATCCTGGGATCAAACCGTTAAAGTCTGGGATATCATCACAGGAGATTGCACGGCCACGTTTACCGGACATAATACCAGTGTTAGGTTGGTTGTGTTCTCAAACGATTCGAAGATACTAGCATCAGTATCGGGGCATCACACTGTTAAATTCTGGAACGTAATTACAGGCAACTGTACGGCAACACTCGAAGGACATTGCGGATTCATCAGTTCAATCACATTCTCACACCACTCTCAGAAGTTTGCGTCGGCGTCGTGGGATCATACTATCATGCTATGGGACGTAGCAAGTGGTACGTGTACGGCGACGCTGAAGATCGGCACAATAATTCACCACCTTGCCTTCGACATAACCGACTCGTACCTATGCACAGACATCGGCACCTTTGGTCTGAACAGTTCATTGCCATTACCGACGGAGCCATCGACCGCAGCAGCATTAGCAGCAGTACCGACAACAGCGTCACTGCCGGTGATGGCCACGCCGGTAGCCAGCCCGCTTACGCAAGCCATCGATTCCCAGGGTGCAGGGGTCAGCGCGGATCGTATGTGGGTTACTTGGAACTCGCACAGGATATTGTGGCTGCCGCCAGCATACCGACCGGGAGCATGGGCTGCAAAAGAACTGACATTGGCCATTGGATGTCCGTCGGGACGAGTCGTCTTCGTGGAGTTTTCGTCCCACACTTCCCTGATGTAGCTGGGCGTTCTCATACAACTACTTCCATTATGTTTTTTGATCTTGTGCATGATATATGAGAGGGCCAGGCAGGCAGCGGTTACTGACCTTATAATTATTTTACCCTGCAGAGCGGGTTTCTCCACTAAGCAGATGGAATGTACTGCTAAACGTCAAATGTTTTAGGCACCTTATAGCGCAGATTCTTGACAGGACTATTAGTCCACTCTGTGGTTTGCACTATTCCAAAGATTGTATACAACTAAATCTATCTATTCGAACTTACAAGAGCATTCAAGCTCGCGTAGATCGCGCGTTCCAAGGCTTTGATGCTTTGATCTCGCGGGCCATGGCTCAAAGCCCCAAAATCGCGACTAGAATGGGTTGCAGATTATAATTTTGTCAATATGCGAGGACGGTTCTTAAACGACACCGCAGAAAGATTTGCATTGCTGTACAAGCAATCGCACAAACATCTGCCGACCGGGCGAATATCGATCGGCCGTACAATCAAACATGCACGCTCATTTCAGGTAGCTCCTAAGCAGACGTGCCCGATCAAATTGCAGACGCTTGAGTATAAAGCAATCGCAATATAATTTGGGTATATATCATTGGACTGACAACCCTCTCCATACGGCGCCTTAAAAATAGGCCCTGACCATTCTCACCCCGTTCGACCACGGACTATGTGGCTTGGTCCAAAGCGAAAGCGCGATTTGAATTTGGAAATCGAGCAGGCCTCCCGTTCAGGCTGTGCCCATCCGACCCTCAGCCCGAAAACTCCACCGACCTACTCGAGCACTATCGTCATGGAGGGCAGCATTTCCTGGTGTGGGAAGCGGTTTAGTTATCCGTAAGCCGGGTACTGGGGTTCGCGATGCTCCATCGACGAAGGAGCCCTCCCCGCGAGTGTTTGGCCGGTGGGTGTGGGGCGTTCGGGCTGTCTTCCCCCTCTTTTTGGAGGAAAGGGTCGCTGCCATTGGGAAACCGATGGCCAATGATTGGTAGGTCCTGAAAGGAATAAAGCATCTCCGTGGGCAGGGCAGAGTACTGGCTACCTTGAGCGCCGACACGATCTTTCTCATGGAGTCCGGTGTCGTCAAAATTGGTGAGTGAGGAGCACTCCACTTTGCAAACACCTTCGGGGGGGGCTGACAAGTAATGTATAGCGGGGGCGGAGCACAGTCGCCAGATCGACACGAACGAGATGGACGCTGCAACTCTAAAGCTGATGGCCCTGGCTGAGACGGTCCAAAACTTGATGACAAGAAGCTCTCCGGGAACAAACTGGAGCCCAGAGGCCCAGAGCCTGCCCGAGGATCTGAACCGACTGTCGGTTGATGAGCTGCGACTACCGCAGATGAGAGAAGCTGGGCCGGATGGACACCAGTGGAGGCGCAGTCCTGGAAGACGGGCGGATGCCTCGCGGATCCTCCGGGCATTTTGGCGAGAGACTGGGAGAGTTGAAAGACATTCGTCCTAGCACCATGGGCCCCACCGGAGGTCATTATCGCTGACAGATATGCTGCCGTGGACCATCATGACCAGATGCTGATCAAAGCCTCAAGAGAAAGACCTTTGAATATATTTACCGACGGGAGTGGAATCGAAGGGAAATTGGGAGCCGCTGCAGTGATTGATCTTGAAGATCACGTCGCCCATTTGGCTATGGGCGATGACAACACGTCTACCGTGTATGCCGCGGAGCTACGCACCATAGAGATGGCACTCGAATCAATTCTGACCAGTAACGAGCCCTGGACCAGACAGGCAAAGAACGGCCTGGTCATCTTTGCAGACAGTCAAGCGGCGCTGAAAGCGCTCCGCCGACCGCGTATGCCTTCAGGTCAAGTCTATATGGCAGGATGTCTGGACTTGATCCACCAATTCGCGGAACGGGGAATCCGAACTGAACTCAGGTGGAATTCGGGTCACCAAGGGGTACTAGGCAACGAGATCGTGGACAAACATGCAAATGAAGCTGCGCAAGAACCCGATGAAATACAGAACCCTCACAACCTATATATCCGCCTAGCAGCCACGACCAAACGTCGGTTCCGCAACGAGGCAAACATTGAGTGGGATAAGCGTGGGTATTGGAGAAGACCAGTCGGCCGACCAGCCGGCTAATCAAGGCACCAACAAAGAAGACACTAGAATACTGGTACGGACTCCGCAAAGCAAAGGCATCGATCCTGATGCAGTTGCGCACTGAGCGGATTGGTCTGAGAGCATATCTCGCTCGAATCAGCCGACGAGTCGGCACGATGCGACTGCGGCCTAGGCAACCAGACGGTAGCTCATGTCCTGCTCGAGTGCCCTCTACGCTAAGAAGAGCGCGAAGGGATGCGAAGCGCCCTATTCGACCAGGGGATCACTTTTTATCGAGATGAAATTCTGACACGGCCGGAGGCGTACACCATTGTGGCCAATTCCATGGTCAGGACAGGTCTCTTGGGCCAATTCCAAACAGTTGACCCCATTGCCTTGGGAGTAGAAGAAGCAGAAGAGAAATAAATGACCCCTAAGAACAGAGTGACGGAAGGAGAAGAATGGTGCCCATTAGGAGTGCAGTGCCAGGTCCACTGTACTCCGTTAATCGGAACGAGTATACAACCGGCAGTCGGCGGCAGAGAAGGGGGTGTGAAGGAGATAAGGGAGTAGAATATTGGGTGGAGAAAGAGATGCGGGAGAAAGATTGGAGATGGCAAGGGGAGCACGGTCCCAGCGGAGGCGGTGAGGGCCAATGACATCCGTCTTGGTGCGGCTCGAGTGCTTTCCGCGCTCATACATATTGTTTCCTATGTCTCGTTTTCGTCTATACGACCAAGCAGAGGCTCAATTGCGAGTCTCTCATCATGGTCGTCACGTGGGCTAACAACCACCTTTCTAGTTGTCGGCTGGCCAGACAGTACTCCCGCGTAGCAGCATATATTTAGAGCGAGCTACATCGGGCAAATGAACTCATCATCATCGTCATCATTATATCTTTGCTTTGATCCTCATCGTCAACAGTCACATCATCTCCATTATGTTGAGATTTGTCCTTAATTCTACTCTCTTGGAAACTCAGTTCCCGAAGCGCATCGCAAAACTCCTATAATCTGACCTGGTTGTTGTCCCACGTGGTTAAGCCAATAGATATCGCCTCACGTGTCGATTACCCCTGATTGGCAGAGGTGTCTATGCCGTAGGCATAGTAAACCGGGCCCCAAGCATGTATTTAAAGAGCTTTTTTCCAGGTTTCACCTGGTTTCACCTGGATTAGACAAACTCACTTATTTGATTCTCACCAATATCCTCCAGTACAGTAGATTAGGATAGCTCATTCATGCTGTATTAGTCTAGCCTGCTAGTCTAAATCAACAGAAAGACGCTCCAACAACTATATCAAAGTTGCAGGCCTTCGAATATTTGGCACAAAAGTAACGTACTTATCTCGTTCCCTTTTTAACTTTACTTCTACTTTAATTTTATTTTATATTTTTTCTGGGTTTGGATGCGGCCGGCCCCAAGGGAGGAGAAGGTCCTGCCACTGATGGTAGCCCTGAATAACCCAGCAGAACGACTTTGGTTGGATATGGAGACAGCAGAGGTTTCGAGTCGTCTGTAAACTTATGGAAAATTTGGTGAGAATACAAAACAATAAAATTATTGAATTCAGAAAATTTACGCCGCACTCTCGGCAATTGGCTTGAAAGATGACGGATTATGTCAAGCCGAAGAGGTGCGCAACGACGCGAGATGTGTGACCCCGCTGCTTTGGATTACGTTATCATGAACATCAGGCAAGTGAGGGACCATAGAAGATCAAACTGATCACTACTCAATCATGAGCCGCCTTCTTCTATTACCCATCGAAATACTACTACAAATATACAGCAGTCTTGCTGATATTGACGATGTTCTTCGGTTAGGCCGCAGCTGCAGAAATCTGCACGCTGTCCTGAATCCAGTGGCCAATCGCCTGAGTATTTTCAGATCTGTCATTGTGCGATCCCTTATTTGGTGTCAAATATGAATTTATTAGTGACGGAGCTACTAGCGCAGTTCAACTCATCATAAGTATGATCGACGACTACCCCCGGATACTCAGGACCACTCTACGATCGAACGCCCAGCGCAGGGCACCTTATCAAGCTCGAAAAGTATCCCTACATCTTGCCCAAGCGGCTCGGATTCCAAACTTTCTCCTTTCTCTAGGGAACTACCCGACCACAAAGTGTGGGAGATAGTTTGCCGTTGGCATGCAATGAAGCTTCTTTTTGATATTTATTGCGACCCCTTCGTCCAGTTGCGCTATATCTTGTCCCTTCCGCATTATTATCCGTTAGACGAGAGCGACGAATACGCAGACGCTTTGGCGCATGAAGAGCCTCTTCCATCGCCATTTCCCCTCAGCCAAAAGAATGTATCTCAATATGCCACGGCGCAAAGGCCGCGAGCCTACCAACGGTTTTACCAAGCACTTACTGCCCACTGGATGGCAGTGGAGTCTCTTTGTCTCGCAAAAGCAGCGGACTTCCAAACGGCTAGCCAGCGCAATCGCCATCTTGCAAAAATATGGGATATTTGGACAAACAACCCAGAAAGAACGCTCTTGGAAAAACTAGAAGTTCTGGAGGTCACAGACTTTGTTTGGGGCTTCCTTGGCCGAAAGATTTTCCAAGCAGCCGATTTCCCTGCTATATGGCTAGAAGGCGGGAGCGAATACTTGCAAAGTGAATACATGGATGAAGACTACTCACTACACTCGAATTGGCTTTTTTTTATCCGCGATGTGGCACAGTTTTTGAGGCCGCCGCATATCATCGAGCTTCTACTTCTCACTGTTTGGAAAACAAAAAGCACTGGGATTATTAACGGACCGGACTATTTGAACGAGCTAGGGCTCTCTCAAATGGGAACCGTGCAGCGTGTGGATGAGATGATTCAAACGGAGACCTTCTTTCCCTTGACGGCTTTAGAGGAAGATATAGTGAATGAGCTGACTGGGAGTGAATTTTTATTGGACAGCAGCCGAGAATTTTGTGAATCGAGGTGGGATCAGTATAGGTGTGAACGATGGGTGTTCGAGTCGAGGGCAAAGATATTTTTCCGTGAAGAAACGACCGAAAGGATGTTTGAGCTTATCATGGGCTAGTACTGTAACTGGACTATGGATTACTCTTCTGGGAATTATACTTTATAAACATCAAAGTTTGGCACGGCATTGATTTCGTTTCTAGATAGTCAACAGGAAACGACAATCTCACGAGAACTCATGGAACCAGTACATTGAAAATGGAATTTAGGCATACCACGTCAAGGAATTGTAGAATAAAGACTAATCATAATAACCCGGCAAAAAATTTCAGCCGATTCATTGCCTCTATGATATAGATTGTCAGCCGATGGATTCCGCGAGAAGGGTATCTAACATAATGATACCAGTTTGCCATGTATGTCCAGTGTGGCCTTGTGTGTCTGGAACGACGGACCTCTTTGATACCTGTGAAAGCTTGTGATCCATGGTAATTGCTTGGTCTTGCTAGTGATGGTGCTGCACTTGTTAATTGTTGAAGCAAAAGAAGGGCATAGAAGCATCCACCATGGGACTATCATGAGCTTTTAAATGCTTGATGTTGACCAAGAAAGATATATCCACTATCAAATTTTCGCGGCTGACCAATATCAGTGCCGGCTCCCAGAAGGACTGCGGATGTTGATTTGTTGTCTCAATCACGGTACGTAAACCAATGCAACGATCGAATCAACGATGTTTTAATTCAGTTGCCGAAACCACGTGTCACCAGAACCACAGTAAAAAAGACAACCGGCGGAGTCTTGTTTGTGCCTCCAGGAGCACTGGGGTCGTTGGCATCGTCCACAATGGCTTGGTAGCATCATGCTGGTACATTCGCTGGGTTTTCTCAGATAACCACCTTTGGCAATGTACGGGTGGTGAATGTTGTCAGAAAGTTGATGTCAACGTTTACATCAACGTTGAGCAAAAAACCACCGAACACCAACAGCACGTGAATTTGTCGCCCATAGAGAATATTCATTTGTGCTATGTTAGTTATCTACACACTAGCGGGACCCGGTTAATTTTCCCAGCTCAAAATAGATTCTTAATCGGCCGCGTTGGCTCACCAGCAGTAAGGGTTGCCTTATGGTTGGAATCAGATCCTAAGCTAGCTGGCAAAAAATACAGTAAGCTCAACGGAAACGATAGAAAATAGGGGGATTTGTCTTCCTGTGGAAGTGTTCGGTAGTTTGTCAATCAACAGCAAAGAATATGCTCCTCGAATACAGCAAAGTGAGGTTTCGTACAAAGACCAAGGTAAACTCTGTCTGATCGGATCACTATCTGGCTCGAAATATGTTGTGCGTAATCTATCACCTGTCTTGGAAATGATGATCATATACTGGCCCCATTCCATAAGACAGTAGATCCTAGGAACACACGGGGTGATTCCTAGACCTGCTTTACAACCAAGCATCTGAGACGATTTCCGTGGCCATGATCGATCTCAAGGATAGGAATGGTGCTTTTACTTGAAACATGTTTACCGAAAAAACGCCTTTCGCATTACCACTGAGGCAACAAAGCAAGGAAAAGGCAGCTGACATGGCTCACTATCAGCTGGGCCTTTCTTTATAAGGCAGGCTTTGTGTGAAGCACAGCAAATATAGCCTTCACAGCGCCCGGAGATATTACCTGCTTCACCGTTCCGCCTCCGATTTTTTATTTCCTCAACTAACTCCCCTAACAAGACACACCTCACCTTCCTGCAATCAATAGAACTGTTTTTGCGGATCCAAAATGCCTCCGAATACCGGCGGAGCCATGATTCGGATGTGCCTTGCCATTCTTTTTCTTTCTATCACCCGACTGGTTCTTGCCGGTCTCAATTCAGCTACTGCACGCTTTGCGATCATCCTGCGAGACCGCGCAAACTCCGGCCTTGCGACTCCCAGCGACGCTGTTTTAAACAACACGTTCCAAAGGCTCATGGACACGACCTTGAGGTCATGGTGATTGTAGCCTTCATCTCAGCCCTATTTTCATCTTCAGAATCGTCCTTGTGATCCACCCAAAGTGGCTGTGGAAAGACCGCAAATATCGAATTTACTACGGCTGCACTCAACTCATCGATGTATATATAGTATCATGTTTCTCTTAAAACATAGTTGTTGTGATATGAGGCTGGTGCAGATCGGGAACTAAGCTGCACCGTCGGAATTAGCTCCGAAGTGTCTATACGGACGACTAAGTTGATTGGAAATCAACTTGGCTCATTGTTGTATATATAGGCTCATAAATCCCTCTGAAATAACAAGTCAATCTATACCTCTGAACTACAACACTTACTTGCCAGCGATGCCAGGTAGCCGCCGTTCGAGGCACTTATAGTGGTCCAATGCGAGCGAATTGGTCAAGTGCTTGGTCCCGATATCATGAAAACTGTCGCACGCCTCGGACAGGAGAGACTAGGCAGTTTGACAATCTGACAGCCCAAGTGCAAACTTACGCAGCCCTCCTATGAGGTACCTACCCCAGCCCCGACGCTCAGTCCGCCGCGCAGGTCGAAAAAACCGTCGTCGGTGAACCGGAGACAATGGTCTATTATTGGGATTGTCCCACCACTCAAGAAAATCCGGGTGATCGCCGCAATAGCCGATCTTATGCGCCTAAGGGAAGATATTGTCACAGATGCAAGGCCGCGAAACAAGCATAGATGTTTACGTCCGGCTACTCGTGAGTCCCTAACTCATGTTTAGGTATATCCATATCCAGTATTCACACAGCAAAGGCTAGACCAGACTGTTTATATGCAGATTGTCTGATTTCTTTTTGGCATTAAAACGACGAGCTCAGAAAACTAGCTTTACTTTCACCGGACAGAGTTTGGAGCCAGAAGAAGCCACTTCCGTTTGCGAAATATCATATATATCCGCAGTCATAATTTGCGCCTCGGGAAGATGTTGGACCACATTGTCATCAACCATAACCTTGAAGCCTCTGCTGTGTTCCCAGAATATATGAGTGATAAGACTTGAATCAATCTGCACTTTTTTCGCAAGCTTTTCTTTAAGCTCGAGAGAGGTGCGATTTATCAAGTATATTGCATGATGGTGGCTTGAGAGTGCCTTCCCATTTTGTTTGAATTGTACATAAAAGCATGCCACTGTGAGAGGGTAAGTATACGAAAAATACATTATTACGTTGCGGTACGAACCAGCTTTGGACGACTGTAATGGATGAAATGGTGACTCCTGCAAGGCCCAAATAGAAGCTGTTGGGATTCCAGGCGAACGTTGCGGATTAACAAGGCTTTGAAGATGATCAGGTTGCACGTAAGTCTCTTTGGGCAATCTACCTTCATTTCCCGAGGCTGAAGGCATGGATGCGCTCTCCGTTTGTTGATTGTCCATGTCCCCAGTTTTCACCACTGTGTTTGTTCCGCGTGGTAAGATAACAGGATACGATTCCGGATCGTCTCGCTCGTTGCCACGAAATCTAAGAACACTCACTTCATGGGCCGATCGAAATAATGCATATGTTTGGGCCAACTCCGCATGAAGATCCTCATCAGTCGTGTAGTCTTTCCGCGATTTTATAGCCCCTTTGAGCTTCTGAGGCCGATGACCGATTTGACCGCCGTTCATTGAACCGCATCCGTGATTTGGTCTGATCAAGCCCACGCCCAGCTCTCTGTCGGTGATCTCCTTGTTGAGCTTTTCGGTCTTTTTCTTGACATGTGCCACGTCGTTCGATAATTTCCGTTCGGCACCGTGGTCTCGAAAGAGCTTTACGACACAATAGCACATTTCTGAGTCGTGCTCCATCATCCGTTCCTCGCCGTCCGACCGTAGGATTTCCGTCTTTGCACACAACCTGACTGGCACCCCTTTCACGCCTTTCGAGCGGCTGAAATCGGTCGATAAGAAATTGAACCTTAGGTAAATGGCGTACTTGCAGACTTTCGTAGTCGGGTCAGCTATCCAGGTGACACAGAACCCATCAACAGTGGCCCTTTCAAGTCGAATCTGGCGATGCTCCGGACACTTAGCACCGTCTTGGAAAGGCTCGACATATTCGACGGCTAAGAGCTCGCTTTGACGCTTGTAAGCTTCGTTAAGGCCTCTACCATCTTTCCATAGCTCCCATGATCTAACAGGGTCTGACCTCTGAGCCTGTTCTTCGAATGTTACCCGCACAAATGTTCTATATTTAAGCGGCCCATCAATCTTCAAGGGTGGCTTAGGGTCTACCACTTCGAGGCTGTAGATTTGACCCTTGTTGAGATATGTCACTGGGCGTTCATTGGTATGCCGAACGATTGATGTTGGGGCTAGCAAGGTCACATTGTAACGAAATCTATGAGATCAGTGAACAGAATAGTTTGATGTGTGATCTGCAAACGTACGTTTCTTCTTTGGCGAATGGCGAATCTTGAGTGATGTCTGCCTCGAATGCGGCCATTGAATCCCTTTTTTGGCTCATATCACCGGTCGGGATACCATGATTGAGTCCATTCGCCGCGGAGTAGGCAGAATCATGGAGCGTGAAAATCCCCGACATATAGTCCGGCTGTCCGTAGTGTGTGTTATCACAAACCCAATGTTGAGTCTGAGCCAGCGGAGCGAAGCAGTCGGGCCCAACCCAAGAAATCGGCGAAGTACATTGGTTTGATGTGTCAAGAAAAGGCGCGGTTGTTTCACCCCACTCTATCATAGGAGAGTGGAGGTCACCTGCTTTGTTGTGGAAGACCGCGCCCGATCCTGGCAGGTTGCGACTGTGAGACGTCTTATGCTTTTTATGAATAACCAACGGAGATGACGAATCGAAGGCATTGGATTTGCGGGAGACTGAGGAACCGCTCACTAGCCCCAATGGTTGTTCATATTTCGTGTTGTCTACCTGCGTAGCACCCACGAAATCAATATCGTTGGCATATCTAACAGGTAACGTTGGATCCCCCGGGTGAACAAAAGCGCCTCCCTTTCCTCTCTCACCATCGCAGGTCAAAAGAAGGTCTCCAAATTTCTTCCTGAACTGAACAATGAGCTCGTCACCTGGTTTGCGCATGATTTAAAAACATAGGTGCTGAGTATTTTGGTCAGTGCTTGGGGGAGGTGCCAATTTGGCTTTTT